ATCTCTTACGTGTGCAGCAGAATGGGAGAACGTCTCTCTTTGTACCCAGGCGTGGAGCAACGGGGCACTGGGGTGGGCTCAGGCTGATGGGGGCCAGGAACATGCAGCGGGGGGAAGGAGAGCTCAGGGCCCTGCAGTCTGAAAAGCTCCTACAAGTTTGGAGAGAGCTGAAGCAGCTGTGAGCAAGGGGGCAGCATGCTGTGGGTCCTCTGCATCCTCTGCCCATTGTGATTTCAGCCCCAGTGTGGCAAGGCTGATTTGCTTTAAGCTGTTTTTAACCGAACTCCTGGGATTGGGCTGTGGTTTGTAGCACTAGGAGGATGCAGCTTCAGAGGGGAGTCCTGGGAACACTCTCTTGCAGACAGGAGCGTGCCCGCAGTCACAGCTTTGCCTTTACCATCCCCAAAGCAAACTGAGCCCAGGGACTGGATTTCCTTCCCTGGAGGTATGCTCTAGAGGTCCAACACCTTTTCCCCTGGAGTCATCCTGGCTTGCCCACGGGATTCTAATCTCCTACCCATTGGCTGTCTGGCACTGATCCAAGGTCTTGTGTTCCCGATGCTCTTACAGCCTTTCTTTGTTCCCCTCCAGCAAGTCCAAAGTTCCTGTCACACACAGCAGCCACGAAAGGGGACCTGCTCCCCCAGGCCTGTGTGCTGCAGCCCCGACCCCTTGCTCAGACTGAGCCACCCGCACGGCACTGCCCTCCCCAGAGCCTGGCCCCGTCCGTGGCCTGGATGGGGCCGAAAGAGCCACCATGCTCCTGGCGTGCGAGCAGGGCTCAGCGCTTTTCCCCAGGACCTGTCCCGCTGGGCAGGCGGCAGGGTGCCCCGCGGGAGCTGCAGTGTAACGGGTTTCGCCTGTCTCTGCATTTTGCAGGGTGAAAAGGAGGAAGATGGCTGACAAGGTCCTGCCGCAGAGGGTGAGTGCTGCCTCGGTGCGCCGGGCAGGAGCTGAGCTGCTGGAGGGGGGTGATCCAGCCGGGTTGATGAGGTCCCCACAGGGAGGAGGATCTCTCTGGGCCACATCCTGTCTGCAGTCGCTTCCACTTGGTCCCAAACAAACCTGGAAGATTTGTAGTGACGGGACAAGGTGTAACAGGTTTAAACCGAAAGAGGGCAGATTGGGATGGGACACCAGGAAGGAATTCTTCCCAGAGCGGGTGGGGAGCCCTGGGACAGGTTGCCCAGAGAAGCTGTGGATGGCCCATCCCTGGAAGTGTCCAAGGCCAGGCTGGATGAGGCTTGCAGCAACCTGGTCTAGTGGAAGGTGTCCCTGCCTATAGCAGGGGGGTTGGAACTGGATGAGCTTTAAGGTCCCTCCCAACCCAAACCATTCAGTGATTCTGTGATTTCTGACTCATCTTCTGGGGTGCTGGAAGAGGTTTAGGATGTGCACAAGTTGGACAAGCAGGACTTTGGGTAAGCAGGGATGAGCAATAGCTTGGGGAGGAGACCCCAGGAGGACCTTGAGCCTCTCTGGGAGGTCCCTCTTGAGCATCCAGGGTTGCCTTACCTGCCCGTGACACCAGGCAGGCTGCTGGGCACACTGACAGGCTCCAAACTGAGCAGCTCTGTGATCTGGGGAGAGCTTTGCAGGGCTGTAGGCTTCGTTTACAAGGAGAGATCGGTGCTGTCGTGCTGGACTCATCATGCGGTGACGCCTTGGCTTGTCAGCCCAGCACCGGTAGCATTGCTGGGGCTGGTGTGGGGGATGCAGCCCCATGCCAGCATGCAAGAGGCTGAGCGTTTCTGTTTGACAGATCCGGGAACTGGTCCCAGAATCCCAGGCCTACATGGACCTCCTCGCCTTTGAGCGCAAGCTGGACCAAACCATCGCTCGGAAGAGGATGGAGATTCAGGAGGCCATTAAGAAACCGCTGACGGTGCGTGGCAGCCCTGGCTAGCCCGGAGGGCAGGCAGTGGGGCGGGGTGGACGATACGATGTGGGTGCTGCTGTAGGTGTCGCCAACCACCTTCTCACTCCAAGGATCCCCCCATCTGATTTTCTTATTTTGCAGCAAAAGCGGAAGCTGAGGATTTACATCTCCAACACTTTCACCCCAGCCAAAGAAGAAGGGGAGGGTGGTGAGCGCGTGGCCTCCTGGGAGCTGCGTGTGGAGGGCAAACTGCTGGAGGACGTAAGGATACGGGCAGGGACGAACTGGTGGTGGGAGAACTGGGGCTTGGAGAGCTTGGCGGGGCCCTCGGCTCGCTCAGTGTTTGGGCAGGGGCTCTCCATGGCGGCGGGTGTCAGGCCCAATCTCTCCGCTCTGTTTTGCAGCCGAGCAAGCAGAAGAGGAAGTTCTCCTCTTTTTTCAAGAGCCTCGTCATCGAGCTGGACAAAGAGCTGTACGGGCCAGACAACCATCTGGTGGAGGTGAGGCTGGAGGCTCCCGGCCGTGCCGCAGGGCTGGCTCCGCACCATGAGCAGGGTGGGGGGAGCCGGGCGAGGGGAGGTGGTCTTGCCGCTTACCCTGCGGGTGCTCGGCTCCCCAGCCCCGCACCTGTCCCGCTGCAGAGGGGACTGAGCCACAGTGCTTGTGGGTGCTGAGGAGCAGTGCTGAGCCCACCCCCGGGGATCACGCTGCTGTGCTCTCCAGGCTCACTGCGTTTTCCTGCCTGGTGCTGGCTGGTGGCCAGCCTGACAGCTCCCGGGCTGGCTCTTAACCCCCTCGTGCCCTGCAGTATGCAGCTGGAGCCGAGGGGCGTGGGGCTGCAGAAAGGCTGCGGCTCCAAGAGGTGGCTTGGGCAGCCCTGAGCCCCACAGATTTGCAAAAGTGAGGCCCAGCTCGGTGATGATGCCGCAGAAAGGCTCATCTGCCTGTCCCAGCACCAGGCGGGGAGAAAGGTCTCCCGTGTTGCCTCCCAGCCTGCTGCCTGGCTGGAAGGTCCTTGGGGAGATTAAGCACAGCCCGTGAGCAGGATCAGACTCGGTTTTGGGTGCTCCTGCCTGGAGCAGGCTTTCCCTGCACCCAGCTCACGCTTTTCCTCTGGGAAACACTCATTTCTGTGGTGATGCCTGCTGAGGGGGGTGCATCCCCTTCACGCGTGGGGTGCATTTGAGGAGCTCCTGTGTGCATTCCCTGTGGTGGCTGAGGCAGGATTGATCCCACATTGGCTCCAGGAGCTGTTTGAGCCCTTGCCATCAAGTGCTCAGGGCTGTAACGCCCCCAGCCCATCCACCTCTGGGCTGCAGCACATCAAGCTGTATCCGTTGGAGTGGGTGGGCTCTCGGCTGAAGTCCACGGGGGTCAGACTCCCAGATGTGCCAGGGCTGGGATCCGGGCTGTCTGCCTCTGCTAGACCCTTGTGCAGAGCCTGAGAACCAGCTCTCAGCTCCTGGCCGCAGACACCAAGCTGGTAGTGGGTGGCTTGTCATGGCCCCGGAGCTGAGCAGTGTCCCCGTGGTCTCTCGTAGTGGCACCGGCTGCCCACAACCCAGGAGACTGACGGCTTCCAAGTGAAGCGTCCCGGCGACGTCAATGTGAAATGCACGCTGCTGCTCATGCTGGATCACCAGGTAGGGGCTGCGTGGGGCTGGCCCTGCTCTGCTGCCCTTCCTCCAGCACGGGGCACGGGCACAAATGGGCCTGGGCTGGGCAGAACCTTAACATGGGGGGGACACTGTGGGGCATAGAAAGGAGCAGAGAGAGCTCCAGGCACGGACGCCGCAGCCTGTGGTGACCCGCGTGTGTGACACAAGGGCTGTGTGGGGCAGTGTGCCCACAGGAGGGGCCCTTCCAAGCGTCACTTCATCCTGCCTGTCCCCACAGCCACCACAGTACAAACTGGACCCGCGCCTGGCTCGCCTGCTTGGGGTGCACACCCAGACCCGCGCCAGCATCATGCAGGCGCTCTGGCTCTACATCAAGCACAACAAGCTGCAGGACAGTCACGAGAAGGAGTACATCAACTGCAACCGCTACTTCCGCCAGGTCAGCCCTTGCCCCGCAGCACCAGCGCGCTTTGCTGGGAGGAGAGCACCCCTCCCCCCTCAAAGATGCCAGGAAAAGCATCTTTTCTGACTCAAAACAGACCCTGCACACTGTCCAGACTCAGTTCATGCCCCTGCCCCAGGCTCTGGCTTGCATCCATCAGCTTGCCAAGCGCAAAGCAGGGCTGGGCGATTCCCCCCCTCCTGCCTGGCCCTTTCTGTGATGGGGGAAGGGGGCTCAGCCACAGACAGCAAATGCTCTGCTTTGCCCCTCCAGATCTTTAACTGTGTCCGCATGCGCTTCTCCGAGATCCCCATGAAGCTGGCGGGGCTCCTGCAGCACCCAGATCCCATCATCATCAACCACACCATCAGGTAGGGACAGGGTGGGGGGCAGGGTACCTCCCGGGGGAGGGGGCAGTGCCTGCAGGGTCTGCGGGGTCTCCAGCCCCAAGCTGCACTGAGCACAAGTCACTTGGGAGAGGAAGAACCAGCCAAACAAATGTGGGGTCCCCTTGGAGCAGCCAGTGGGGTACTCGTGTTGCTGTCAGGGGAGTTGATCCTCCTGTACGGCACGGTGGAGGCTGCAGGCATCCCCCCCTAACCTGGACACCCACCACCCCATTTCCTCCCAGTGTGGACCCCAACGATCAGAAGAAGACGGCCTGCTACGACATCGATGTGGAGGTGGACGATCCCCTGAAAGCTCAGATGAGCAACTTCCTGGCCTCCACCACCAACCAGCAGGAGATCGCCTCCCTGGATGCCAAGGTGTGGGACACCCCTGCTCGGCAGTGGGGACTCAGCTAGGGGGAGCTTGGTGGCAGCTGTGTCCTGTCCCGCTGGGGACAGCTGCTGACCCCTTGCCATCTCCCCAGATTCACGAGACCATCGAATCCATCAACCAGCTGAAGACGCAGCGCGATTTCATGCTGAGCTTCAGCAACAACCCGCAGGATTTCATCCAGGAATGGATCAAATCCCAGAGGAGGGACCTCAAGGTGAAGGACGGGCAGGGTGAGGGGCTGGGAGGGGTGGGGTCCAGCCCTGGCGCTCCCCCCCTAACCCCAATCTCTCACACTCAGATCATAACGGACGTGATCGGGAACCCCGAGGAGGAGCGGCGAGCGGAGTTCTACCAGCAGCCGTGGGC